TTTTTTTTTTTTTTTTTGAAGCTCTGAATGGTATCCTAAATGTTTATGTCCAGTTAACAGGTGGAGGTAAGGGTGGCTTTGATTATAGAGCTGTCAAAAGATGGACGACGGAAAAAAAGTTGGGATATTTCTTGATTGACTGTGACAAAGTAAAACAATGCAAATCCTTTCCATTTTCTGACTACTTATTTTTGTTCACTGTAAGTTGCGCATATTCTCATTTTTTGCTTGTGCTCAGATATTTGTCCCTGTTCACCAAGAGATACATTGGTGTTTGGCAATCATTAATAATAAGGATCACAAGTTCCAATATCTCGATTCACTCAAAGGAAAGGACATCAGAGTTCTTGAAAGTTTGGTATGTTTTGTTTTGATTTCTATGTATTCCTAACTAGTTCCAAGGGCATCATAGCTAAAGCATTAATCTCTCTAATTTTCAAGTGACAAGGTTCCATTGAGAGTTCCTTTGTTTGATTGTCCTAATGATTACTTTAGAAGCTAATGGACCATTGAATCCAGCCATTTCTGTTTTTGACCAAAGCCTGTCCCCATGACCTAACTGTTAATATTGGAAGCCTGAAGCTTAAAAGGTTGGATTACATAATGAAAGATATGGACTGTGCCCTTTATACCTTTCCAATTTTCCCGAAGTGCGTAGTTGATGCTTGCTTGATCCAACTATATAGACAGCTTCTAATGTTGGGATGAGGGGTTTTATTTTTGAAGTACTAACCAATGCATATGATTCTTTCTATGTTTTGATGCTATAAAATCATCTCACAAAGGGTTCAGTGATCTTCTGAAAGTTGTTTAGGTTTTGGAATTGGTATAATTATTTGCGAAATTTACTCTCTCAAGTCTAGTTGATGACAAAAAGGACACTCTCAAGTCCAGTTGATAACAAAAAGGTTTTTCTTTGATTTTTTACTTTATAAAGTTTGTAAATTAAGGATTTATAAAAAATGTAACTGTATCAAGGATTGTGGGTTTGCTCATGTATGTTATGGAGTTAAGGTTGCAAATCTTAACTTCTATCCCTGCAACAGCTGTGGTTTTGTAGTGTTAAGATGGTTGTCTTGTATTCAGGAAATTTGCGTTGTGAATCTGTGATCTAGCACTTCAGTGGCTCCAAATCTTTATGCTTATTTCTGGCAGTTGCAAAACTGAAAAGGAGGGGGAAATGAAAAATATGTGGGAAAATGCTGAACTATGATATTTACTCACAACTTCTTCAATTCTTGGCTGATGTTTTTAATTGATGTGTCCAGGCTAAATACTATGCTGAAGAAGTGAAAGACAAGAGTAAGAAAGACATTGACGTAAGTAATTGGGAGCGTGAATTTGTTGAAGACCTTCCTGAACAGCAGAACGGGTGTGTATTCTTTTTTTGTAGTATTCTTCTTTTGGAATCAAGTGCAAGATATTTTCTCCATTATCAGTTATAAAGAAAAAATGATTTCTCTTTTAAATTACCACGTCTTCTGAAGCTTGTTAGAGGATCTAAAAGAAGTACCTTGTTATAGAAGCATAGCTTATACAACAAAGAATGAATCATAAAAGAAATACAACTTAACTGAACTAAGGCTCAGAGGCAAAATAATCAGGGTTAGCTTAATGGACTGGCCTTCACTATTCAGTTCTATCATGATCCCGTGGACTAAAATTTTTTGTGGGCTGTTGTGATATTGTATGAATAAATGAAAGAAATCTCTGGAAAATGTTCCTTGATCATGGTCTCCTCCCTGGCTTTACGTTTAGAATCAGCTCTACAGTCGTGATTCTACTTGTCAGTGAGTTATCTTCCTGAAAAATTGGTCTGTAGCAGTCAGAATAAACTTAACATGCCTGAAGATGGATGCAACGTATTGTTCTCTTTCTTTCTCCACCTGTCTTAAATGCTACACTTTCTCTTATCTAATGTCATATGATTTAAAATTTTAGGATGTGATGTACTGTTAAGTTCTAGGATGTGGTTTCTTAGTCCTGAATCATATTCATTGTTAGTATAGAATCAAGGAAACAAATAGGCATGTGTATAGTGAATGCTTCCCCAGTATTTAGAACATGATGGATCAGTTGATAAAAGAATCTCAATTTACTGCTTCACTTAGTCTGAGTTTCAGTAGTTTTGTTCCTGTCTATGCTGTAGCTGTTTTGAAGAAACCACGCAGCAAATTTACACTGGGGCTACTTTTTGATGCTTCACTGCTGAGGTGTCTAAGTCCCTTAGTATCTTCATCTATTCTTTTCTACGATGAAACTGTTTTTAAGAGTTTCCTCAACGAACTAGTGTATTTTCTTCATGTACACTGCATGTGTGGCTTCAACCTGCTCCCATGGCTTCTCCCAATTCAATTCTGCTGAATACCTTAATCCACAATAAGCTTTTACTATCAACTATTTCTAGTATTAACATGTTTCCATATAAGCAGGTATGACTGTGGTGTGTTTATGATCAAATATGCTGATTTTTCTAGCAGAGGTGTAGGACTGTGTTTTGGCCAGGTAAGGTGATTATGCTTTTGAAAGTGCTGATGTATTTCTTCTGTATCGAAAGATTTGCTTAGGTCTCTAATTTATAGTCATTGACCTGCATTTGTTGAAGCTTAAAAATATGGAATTTTGAAAGCCCACCTACCTGTCATAGATAAGCAATGGCCTCTAGTTTTTAAGAGTTTCCTCAACGAACTAGTATATTTCCTTCATGTACACTGCTGAATACCTTAATCCACAATAAGCTTTTACTATCAACTATTTCTAGTATTAACATGTTTCCATATAAGCAGGTATGACTGTGGTGTGTTTATGATCAAATATGCTGATTTTTCTAGCAGAGGTGTAGGACTGTGTTTTGGCCAGGTAAGGTGATTATGCTTTTGAAAGTGCTGATGTATTTCTTCTGTATCGAAAGATTTGCTTAGGTCTCTAATTTATAGTCATTGACCTGCATTTGTTGAAGCTTAAAAATATGGAATTTTGAAAGCCCACCTACCTGTCATAGATAAGCAATGGCCTCTATTTGTCTGGTGGCCCCCATTGTGGTGAATATCATTTCATGTTTTCTTCAAGTTTTCAAGCCAATGAACCAACTGGTTGACGTGCCAAGAGGGGATCCTTTTTCAAGGGAATGGTTCAGATTGCAAAAACAAGATAAACCTCATTCATTTCTTTTTTTTTCTCTCCCTTGGGTACAATAAAACCTTTTTCTTTGTAATTCTAAAAAATGAACCAGCCGGGAAACAGATCTTGTTATACTATGTAGGAAACCAGTAATCGTTGTCAACTGTGAACTCAAATCTGTATATCTCTGTTTTGCAGGAGCACATGCCCTATTTTCGGTTGAGGACAGCCAAGGAAATTCTGAGACTGAAAGCTGACTGATTGAAAGTGTAAACGTGCTACTCAATATCCATTATTTTGTATTAGTGATTCTGCAGGCAGCAGATCTGCCTTGCTTGTGAATAGAGGGTGTCCTTGGGCCTCCGTCCAGGTGTCAATGTGGTAGCAAAGCAAGGCAAGCAGTTCAAGGTTGCCCTGTTGGCTTGAGGGGTTAAAGGATTATTCCTTGTGCAATGATGCAAACCAATGTTGACACTGAACAAGGCAGGACCTGTGGCTGGTTATTTACTCTACCCGTTTGATTCATTCAGCCTAGTAGTTATTGTAGCCATCCCTTGGTGGGTTCATAATTGTAATGATAGAAGTCCTGCTTTGGGGGGGAAGAGATGCATGGTCAGGCTTTTTGGCTTCTGTGTTCTTTTGGGAAAACTGGTCACTTTCCTGGTTTTGCTACCTTGCTCTATTTGGTTTCTTTGCGTACATAACAGGCAGTGATTGCCTGTAGTTACTGGGTATTCTTTTGCTGTTCTGGGTGTGTGGGCGTGTAAATTCCCTCAGTTAACGCATGATCTGAGACTTCTGATGTTTCACATATTGCTCCGAGGTTTCTTTTCTTGTAAACGCTTAAAAGCATATAGTGGAATAGGAAGAAGAGTAATTGCAGGAGAACAAGAAATTTTTCTATTTCAGGTTTTTTTTTCTCCTTTCTTAATTCCATTAATAATCATGTTCCAGTTACCTTTAACGTGAATCCCGCTCCACCACAACAGTTGGAAGCCTGGCTGTTGAAGGCAGTCGAGTTGCCACATCAGATCATGACAAAAACCAAACACTTTTCCTGGCCAGCTGACTGCAAGAATTAAAATTGGGTTTATGCGAGGGGATTATACGCAGGTAATTGAAATTAAATTTCCATTTCTGGGAGCTGATTATATCGAATCAACAAGGACAAAATCATATTGTAGTAGTGAAATACAAGAGATTTGGAATTACAAGACAGCCTTAAGTTTGGCAGGTAAAGAAAGTGCAGCATTAACGAGGGACTCTCTTCCGATTAAGTATCTCTTGTTCTCTTAGTCGATGCTGGAACCGAGCGAGGCGTGCTTGGAGGCTAACCAGGCCAGCTGCCTTGCGTGAGAGCACGAAGTTCAACTGGGTTACATAGTTGTCAATGAGACTGCCTGGTTGGTCAACTTCTGCCAACAGTTTCATTTCCTGTGTACCCAATGCCACACAACATGAGCACACGGATGGTAACCATGCAATTAAAACTTAAGGATTACACGGATGTGTAATGGCAGTAGCTGTGGTTTAAAGTGTTTTTGGTTTATAAATATATTAAAATAATATTTTTAGTAGCTGTGGTTTAAAGTGTTTTTGGCTTATAAATATATTAAAATAATATTTTTAAATTTTTTTAAAAATTATTTTTAACATCACATCAAAATAATTTGAAAATATAAAAAAATTAATTTCAAAAAACAAGAAGAAGAAGTTTTCAGTTTCGACCACGTCGACAAACACTGCATGCATCTTCAATGCCAAATTGAACCCCCACCCCGAGCTCAAAAAAGAAAAGAGAATGAAGAAAGAAACACCCGAGTTATCACAAAGCAGCTTAAAACATGTTTCAGAATTTGAGCAAGGGAAGAGGATTGGCATTCACTTACTTCACGAACAATCTCCATTGTATCCTCAATTTCTTTTCTATGCGCAGCGATTAGGGCCTCTTCTTCCTAAAAAATACCGATAAAATGGTCAACTGAGGGCATTACAAACTTTCAAATAGACACCACAAAATTAGTATAAATACCAAATATGCTACCAACCTCAAGTATTGCATTTATATTCCCAACAGGAGGATCCGGTTTGTACTGTCGTGATCCAGTGTTACTTGCACTATAGTTTCCTGTACTCTGCTGCTTTGGGATTGCAGTGGGGAGATCAGATCCACTGCCATCTTTTTTGAACCAGTTTCCAAATTTTTCTGACTTTTCCTCCCTGGATATTTTTCTGCGAGGTGGAGACACCTTCGGCACTTTCTCTTCTGTATCAGCTGAGTGCTGGGTGTATGATGAATTGACTTTTTGACTTGCCAGACCACCATAGGAACTATTACTTTCGAACCTCTCCCTGTCTGCTATGCCAGAACTCAACCCATTTTCTTCTCGTTCATTTAAGGAAAAACCTGAGGGCTGTTTATCATAATCAACAGTAGGATTGTAAGATGGAGTTTCTTTCTCTACAACCCTTCTACCCATATCTGGCACCCTGACCTCTTGTTGCTCATAAACATCATCAACATCAACGGAGACTGGCAGTGATGATGTAGAGGAAGCATCCTTGTTAGTTGGCGGTAATGAACTTACAGCCTGATCCTTTCTTGCATTTCCGCTTTTAGAAAGACTTTTAACCCTGTTCATTTAAATAAGCATGCTTTATCATCAAGGAGAAGACAAGAGACCACTGCAACTATGTTCAGTTGAGGCAATAGGATCACACTTACCTATCCGCATATCTCAATGTATTGAGTGTATGTTCACATGAGCCAGCATTTGGGGAAATGCAAGAGACCATAACTGTCCTAGAGTTGCCCACAAAGGAATCACGGAGTACTTCTGTGAGTTTGCTCCCACGGAATGGTATATGGATCTGGTCATTGTCCAAAGCACGAATGCACTCCTTAAGAGCCAAAAGGCTCTTGTTGATTTCTGCACCTTCAATCCTGCAAAGAACCAAAAGGTGCATCAAGAAGTGCAAAACCAAGCTTGCCTTGCAACAACTAATTCAAAGACCTAGTGATTGTTTAACTGCCAAATCAGGCAAGATAACTTTTTGCAATGAGTAAAAGATATCCATCATCAGTCACCACAAGGATGGACATCATGCATGATGACAATCCCAATCTAGTTTATGAAGTTTAAGGTAGCATCTGGAGAATGAATCCATAGGTACAGAACTGACATTGCTAGTTTTGGGGCCATGAATGGGAAAAAAAAAAAAAAAGCATGCACAAGATTTGGAATTCTTAAGGTGGATCTCTTATGAAATCTTTAAATAACCCCACAGCAAATAGAATGCTCACCCATCAACATTAAAATAGATCAAGATAGTTTTGGTGAATCAATAGGAACAGAACTTATATTGCTAGTTTTGGTACCAGGAACTGAAAAAAAGATATGCAAAAGATTTTGAAGTCCCAAGGTGGATCTCTTATGAAATCTTTAAATAACCCCACAGCAAACAGAATGCTCACATCAACATTCAAATGGATCAAGATACCAAAAAAATAACAAGACCTGGCTCTTCTAAAACTACTAGATAATACAATCTAAAGTCCAGCACCTTAATTAGAAGAAAAGTTGCTTCTCCATCTCAAGCTCAATGAGTTCTAAGCAAGTGTAAACGATACTCAGCTGATTGATGAGCCCAATTTACCAGGCAATGCCAAAGAGGCAACTTGATTGCAACAGCTAGAGCTACCAGTTTTCATCACAAAAGCCAAATCCATTTAATAGTTAAACACTTATAGAGGGGCAGAAAGAATGGGAAGGTCTTTATTAATATTCATTCTAGAAAATTTAGAAATTTTTATTGATTTCTTATGAATTTACTTTTAAATCCTTTAGGTTCTTCCCCACATTAACTTTACCAAACAAGTCATAACAAATGAGTGTTTAGCATCTCTTCCACAGAAACTCGTATTTTTCCGTTCCCAAAATCTTTAGACAGACCAAGCTGGACAGAGAAGAATTCAGAGGAAACCCACCCTATTGGCACACTAGTGGTGCACCAAAAAGAGGCCTCGGTGTTGTTTATAAAATAATCACCTGATCATATTTGATCAGCATGGAATCCAATAAACAGATTCTTAAAAACTCTAAGTAATTGTCAAAAACTATAGTGACAAACTTGCAGTTAGAACAAAAGAAGAAATAGAAGTGTAGTGCAGATAAGGATACCTTGTTTGCCGGTCATTGTCAGTGGTGTCTGCACCTCGTTCACTACCAGCAAGATCAATAAATGAAATTTTCCCAACAACTTTACCACTTCTATAGTCATTCACATCACTGTTCCGCCTGGAGTCTTTTACTTCACTGTGCTTCTTAACAGCAAGTTGTAAAATAGCATGTGACCTTGAAGATTCCTCATTGGCACCAGTAGATCCTGTACTTCTGGCAGCATTCCCCTTCTCAATAAATTCCTTAACAATTTGTACATCAGAAACTTCAAATTCTTGCAGTCCAACAATGCAAACTTGTTGCCTACCATCTTCTCTCATACAAAGTTTCCTAATTGAGAAGAATAATGTCATTCAGCATGTGTGGTTGAACTCATTAACCATTCACAGCTTAAGACTTTTAGATACATGAATAAACACATAAAAATTATTCTGAAGAAAACATACAGCAAAGATAATGCATGGTTGACAAGGGACAATGCATCTTCTATGGTTACTTCCATTAAATTAAGTTGCTAACGTAGCCAAAATTAAAAAGTGAAAAGTGAAAATACACAGAAAATGAATCTTATAGAATGATTGTCAAAAAAAATGTCCTTTTTATTACTTCTTATGCCACAACCACATCAGATGAACTCATAAAAGGGTGACTTCAAGTCACAATAGCAAGCACCCAAGGAACACATGGTGCATGTGAGGAATAATATCAGCAGAGATTTCATAGTCATCTTTACCCCATTACAAATTGAATCTAATTGATACAAAGTTCTGAAGACACGACTTGTGAGAAGACAAATGAAATAAACCAACAAGAAACAGGGAAATACTAACTTTCTTTCACTGAGAAGATCAAAGAGTTTTCCACCATAAATTTCAAAGAAGCTAAGCCACAATTTGAATCTCTGATTACGATAAACTGGCTGATGCAACAATCTAACAAGATCTTCAGCAGCTCTAAGAGGCAGGGGCTGCATTGTGAATGTCTTACCACTACCTGAAATAAAAGCAGTGTCAGGATTTCAGTTATCCACAACAGTTTGAGCTTAACTTAGCTTCAGAAGAGGCAGCATCTGTGAAAAGAAAACTTCAAAGTAGAAATAAGAAATGGATTGTCCCACCATGCACATTTCACCTCAAAGGAAACCAAAATAAATATGCAGGAGATGAAAACAAGAGCAAGTGCAGCAGGGAAAATCTAGTTTTTTTTTCTTCCAGGAAACATGGAAACATAGATCCAAAACATTAAACTGGGACATTTTATATGTGAAAATGTAGCCATGACAAAAAAAAATGGACATGATGGGAAAAACATATATAGCAAGCATCTGTTGCAAGAACCATAAGACAGAATTTCTACCTGTCTGACCATATGCAAAACATGTGGCTTTTGTTCGCTGAAAAATGGTGGGAATAATTGGTTCCACAGTAACCCGATATACCTGTTTCATCAAGGGAAGCAATCATTTCTTTGAGCTAATCAATTAGCAACTACAAAGGGACACTGCTTCAATAATAACATGCAGAAAGATGATTTGGATTGGAGCAAAAAATGTCATAAGAGCTGAATACAGGTATAAAATAAATAGCTCATTTAAAAACTCCCATGATTCACACATTCTCGTAAATAAAATAATAGCAAAAATTATTAAAGATCCTTGTCACTAAAACCATGCATGATTTCAGAGTGGTTGCTACATTTCAACTTTTATCCCCGATTTACACTTCCTTGTGACTAAAACCAAGCATGATTTCATAGTGGTTGCTACATTTCAACTTTTATCCCCACATGCAAAACATTACCTCGTCATTGGTGACACGCTCATCCAGAACAGCATCAAAACAGAACTCGTGCTTCTCAATATATGCAGTCAAGTCCACCTAACATATCAGAAAGAAACATCAGACCTCTGAAAATGAAAAATGAAGAGGAAGAGAACAGAATACCAGGACAACTTCAGTAAAAAATTCCAACCTGCATATAAAAAATCTTACGAAATACTGTAAGACTTTTTTACAACATTAAGGAAACAAACCTTTAGCCTGGGTTCATGGACAGTTAAAGCATTGTCATTCACCGTTACAATGTCGTCCTCCTTCCTAGCAAGCTCCTTCTTGTTTAGTGGTCTTTTACGTACCTATGGCACAAATATTATTAAAAGATTTCCAGGAAACTTTTCCTTGTGTGCTTGTGAATAAAGCAAATGACAAACAGGATATCATCCGTATGCTGGTATTCACCAAGGCTGAAGAGAAAGGATTCAGAATGTTAGAAACCAAAAAAAAATTAAAGAATGTTTGCCTGGTCTGTCAAGTAACCTAGTATACTGTGATCCTGCAAATACTATCTAGGAAGAGAAAATAAAAGCACTATTGCACATGGCACCAACATTTCTACTTAAAAACCCACAGGTGTGGGATTGACTTAGTTTAGTTGAGTAACAAACAAGGCATCTAAGATAGCTTCTCCTAAATACTACAAATAGCAAGACACGTACGCTAAGTTAGGACAAAATACTAGAAGAATCTGAGAGTTGAGCTTGGAAGATATAGCAGTAAATTCACCAAAACTAGCAAATTATGTATATATCATCAGCAATGATGCAATTCTTCACCCAACAAAAATGATAAGTTTTCACATCAAAATCACGTGCTCACAACTCAACCACATTTCTGCATGCAGGCATTCAAATGAACACATAGAAGAACACGCAGACTTACAATCCTACAAATCAACTTACCACAACTTTAATCTTTGCCGCATTATTTTCCTTTGTGCTGTTCTCCTTTTCATTAGTGGGGGATGGAACTGACAAATCTGCATCAGTTTGCTCTCCTTGCTGTCTGCTACTAGTCAAATTGAAGTCATTTTCAAATCCTTTTGAAACACCAGGCATCAATGGTGATGGATCAAATGGTTCTGAGATGACATGCTGAAAACGTTACAAAAACAATAATAAAAAGGAATGAGGGGCAGTATCCTCCCAGTATCAAGAAAACAACGAGAGAGAGAGAAAAGACAATACTGAACATTCCAACGAATATATTAGCATGAATGAAGTGATAAACAGCGCAGGAAAAATGGCTAAGGAAAAATCCATCAAAGAGAAACAAGGCCTTATCAGAATTCCATAGCCTCAATGAGTGATTCTAAACTCCTGAATCCAATTCCAGAGTCAGCAACTACTACCTACTTCCAGTTAAATTGAGTCAGTTACTACCAGCTTCCCCTTGAGAGAAAAGGGGAAAAAAAAAAGAGATAGGCCCACTATTGGACAGAAGAGGGACTGTGGAATGGTTCAAAATCGAAAGGCAATATCACTATCTTAAAGAGCATCATCAAATAGACAGCTATTTTTCCTCATGTTCTTCATACTTGAATGTGAACAAAGTTTCACATCACTGACACGTTGAAGAGGGAGAAGCAAATAAAAATACCACCTATCATCTAGTGTAAGTAAACAATTTGGTGCAAGGAACTAAGATGAGTACATTACTTTTACTGGTTGCTCATTTTAAGGTTGGGACCCATGAAAGCTGTATACATAAATTCTTCCCACCAAGTTAGATGCGGTACCTCAGATAGAAGTTCTGTATCATCCATAGCATGAAGATCCAAAAGGCCAGCTCCAAAATCCCCCCTAAAGTCAGGAGAATAAAAGCCATCTGAGGCAGAAACACCAGCTGAAGTTTGGGCAGATGGGATGTAAGGCTCAGAAACAGACTCTCCATTAAAATTGAGGTTTCTCATAAGCTTGAAAAGCCTCTGTTTCTCTTCAGCAGATTGTGCTCCATAACCCTTTAACAAATACATAAAATAAACCATCCGACTCAGATCCAAGCACAACCACAAATCCATCCAAGCACATGCAACAAACTGGATTTGATTACTTATTCTGATACTCGAAAACCAAGGACAACAAGCATGAATTTCATAGGTAGAAAACTCGACATAAAGAAGATTGAACAACAACTGTGTATCAAGAACTTGATCCAGTATATGAAGAAAAAAAATGAGCTGGAAAATACGACAAGTCCGCACTCCAAATGTGACTTCTTGGCACCAAAACCCATAAACACAACAAATTATGTATATTCCTTTCCCTCAAATATCATAATCAGTACACACGGCAATACAAATAACCGCCATCAACTTACAAGGAACGCGAATTAAGAGTGAATCAAGTTTCCTTTTTATACCTGCATTAAAATATTAGGAAGGAGGCGATGATCGATACCAGTAGAAGCCAAGGGAGAGGCCAGATGCTGCAAGCCCGCAGACTGAAGCCATCTAGCCATGACCGCATCACCAGCATCAGCAGAGGGGCCCAAGGAACCACCGGCGGCGGCATGATCATAGAGTGCGGTGGAAGCAGCAGAAGCATTCGTTTGCTGCATCTTGCCGCCCATGTGGCGCTGTGATCGCCTCTGTGGAGCCAATTTTCAAGATCTATTTATCACCACCGCTTCACACACAAATTAAAAGCAAAACAAAATTAGCAATGCAGAAACAAATTAAAACAAAAATTACTAAATTAATTAATTTTTTAGAGAAGCAGAACTTACAAGGAGGATAGAATCCGAATCCAAAACAGAACATGAAACGTAATTTGATTCCCAATTATTCCAGTGAAATTCAATTTGTTTACGAACTTACAAGACGAAGTTCTTAATCGAGACGAGAGAGATCTACCATGTGAAATAGAAATTTGTGATTCAGATCTGAAACTGAAAGCAAAACCCTAATTTTTAGTTTTTTTTTTTTTTTGCTCTAATGTGAATTTATTTTGCTGTTATTTGAGAAGAGAAGAAGAAATGTTATTAGCATGGACGAGAGAGGGACGGAGGGAGGGAACGCTTGTGATGATGTGATGCTGACGTGGGACATTCGTACTTGATAATTTTATTTTCTTGTTGGAGTATTATGGTTTTCAAATTTTTTATTTAACGGCTATTTCTTTTTAAAGACTAATCTGCCCCTCCTTTTATTTTCACAATTTCCACTTATTTAACGACTGAAAAAAGAATTCTATTAAAAAAAAAAAAAGCAAGGGGTAAATGGTTTAAAATGCATTTGATATTAAGCTTCTTTATTTTTTGGAATTGATTATTAATTTGGTTTCAACAAAATCCTAAAAATACTAATTATTATCTCGAAATAAAAAATGCCATTAATAAGAGCATTTATATTTTTAGATATTTTTTATGATTTCAATGTGTTGGTGTAAAAAATAAAAAATATATATATTATTTTAATATATTTTTAACTAAAATACATATAATGAAATATATTATTTTAATAATGTAAAATATTAAGATTCGCCTTTGTTAGGACGGCACCAGAGGAGGAATAAAAACACCGACACCATATGCTAGTTATTGAATTTAAAAATATTGAAGGTGCGTGGATGGACATGTCTGTTTATTCAGGAAAAAGCTAAAGACATATATGTTTTTTCTACGCCAAGTCAAATAATTAATTTCCAAGCCAATTATTATTAAAATAAGATCTAGCATGTCAACAACCTCCCCTACCTTTCAAATCGAAATAATGAGTTTATTATTATTATTATTATTACATGTATGATAGAAGAGATTATGGGAATACAAGAATGCCCTTGAATATTTGGTGTAAATATTCCCTGGTTTTCTTTTTAGGGATTTAGAATTAATTTCCTGATTGTTAGGTTTTTGGTTTTTTGTATAATTATTTTTTCATATTAGTTTGCGTGGTATTAATTGTATATATACTGTATTTCTCTCATTGTTTAATAAAAAATTAAAAAGTGTTTTCTTTTCATATTAAAAACAGATTTATTTCCATGTTATTGTATTTAATTGCGACCAAAAATAATTAAGGTACCAGTTATGTGTCAATTATATATTATAAAGTAATCGACCACCTTCATTGCACTTTAAAAACAAAAGGGGCACGCAGCATATTATAAACAAAAATGGTAAACTTAGGAAAAACTAAATGAAAATATATATATATATATATATATATAATTGTTTGATTAATCACTACGGTTTTACCCTATACTTTATTTCTTGAGATTTTATTTAAAAAAAGTCATGAATTATATAGTTTTTAAAATTTATTTTTTCAAATCATAACTACAATGTTAAATATTAACTTAATCCGATTAACCTTTTACTTTCATTCTTTTTTTATCTTCATTTGAGAATTTTTGTGTTATTTTTTGGATTCTGGATCTATAACCTTTCCTAATAAATGGGAGATGATACCCAGATTGCGAACACTCTGCAGAAATTCCTACTAAATTTTTATAAAAATAAAATAAAAAATAAATAAATATTAATGGAATATCATGTTTTTTAAGACGAATATTGGGATGAAATAAAAAAAAATAAAGCAAAAATCATGCACTGGATTAGAGAGATTTTTTTGTAACCGGTGAAAATGTTTGGTCCGGGAGGAGCAAATTGCAAGCGACAGGCATGCCTCCTGTTCGATCGTGATTCAGGTGGGGGTCTGGCTTCTCCGATGGCTCTGAAAAACATGCGCGCACGAGAATCGTCGTGGCAGGGTTGCGAGGAGGGAGAAGGTACTGGCATTTATCTTAGCATCAGGAAGTTTATTATTTATATCAGAATAAATAATATTAAAGGATAGGTTAGAGCTTCATGAATGAAAAGGGAGCAGATTTAATTGATTTATATTTTTATTTTTGGAGTAGTTTTATGGTGTTTTTAAATTAAAATAATTTTTTTATAGAATTTATATAAATATTTTCAAGTTAAAATAAGTATTTTAAATTAAAAAAACCTTGAACCCACTTATTAGCCATTAAAGATGGCTGAAAATCTGAATCGGTGACAGCATAATATAAATGGATTTAGTGATTTAATGACTTATCATCCATTTATTTTTTTAAAATTAAATGCACCGTCAGTCATTGATAACGTGTTTGAAATTACTGTTGAATACTCTTTAAAAACGTGTTTAAATAAAAAACATCAAATTAATATTTTTTTAATAAATTTTAATAATTTTAATATATTAATATCAAAAATTCATTATAATTTTTCAATATGGTGACAACAATGTCTACAAAAAAAAGATAGGCAGTGAGTACTCTATACTCTATATAAAGTTTAATGTGATAAGAAAATTCATCAGCAAGCATGCATCTATAAGCTTCCTCCACCCCAGGCCTGAACTGGGATTGTGTCCGCAATGGACAACATGGTTGTAATTAGCTTGAAATAAGGTTTTTTGAGGGCGTGCTGTCTGGTCAAGCGGGGCATACGAAGAAGAATGATGCTGGTGGATCTCGTCGTGTAACCAGAAGAAGAAGAAAAAAAAACCGCCCCTTTTCAATGCAGCAACCTTGCAGCACCTTGCTTTAACTTAAAGCATGTGATCAGTTGGAGGTTGGGATCCAAGCAGTTTGATTTTTTTATATTTTAAGATTGTTTTAATATGTTGGTATTAAAAATAAAAAATTATTTTTTAATATCTTTTAAAAAATATAAAAATTAAAATTGAAATCAAGTGATTTCTTAACTGAATTATCATGTATATCTTAGTTAATGCTCCCACGAGAAAAAACACAATGATAGTCTGGATGCTACAAATATATTTGAAAGAAATAATTAAAAAAACAAATGATTTGAGTAATACGTTCTCCCGGGTTTAATAAATTAATTTTATTTTAATTGGACGATAAAATAAATCATGATATACATATATAAAGATTTTAAAAACTTGGGAAAAAACCTTAGAAGTATAAAATTAGATAAAATAAGATAACAAAGAAACAATCAAATTCAACTCAAAACTGAATAGAAAAAAATAACAAAGAAACAACTAAATTCAACCCAAGTTAGCACAATATACATATAACTTAGGTAATAAGGGGTGAGTCATCCTGCAAAACTCGTAATTCAAATCATGAGATTATGATGATCCAATGAAAATGAAATTGAAAAAAACTATGAAGCAACTTTTTAAAAAAACACATTGCATAATAAAACAAAAAAAAATTACCAAAAAAAAGATGTCAACTCTGTAAACTATTCAAATCCATTACCCAGTCATTAGAATGAAAGCATTGTAAATAATAAAAATAGAGAGTAACAAAAAAATTTTGATTGAAAGGCTAAATTGAAAAGGAAAAAAAACTTTAATAAAATAAAAAAATTAAAAGAATATGGACTAAATTGAGAAGAAAATACACCATGAGTTTTAATTGAATGATAAATCTAAAATCCAATAAGATTTTAATAAAAGGACAAGGGATAAAATTAAAAAAAATAATATATAACAAATAATATTTGGACTCATTGAAATACCAAAAAATAAAGAGAATTGAAGTGTAATTTTAAGGGTAAGGGAGGGAAAAAAATCATCAAAAATAAATTATATATCATACACGTGCCACATCATAAAAAAAATAAGATGATATTTCTAATAATAATAACATAGTGCAATGGCATATTTGGAAAACAAAAGGTATCATACATGTTAAAAAAATATAAGTATTTTCCATGTGTTAATACGTGAGTATCACATATCAATAACTTTTAAAATTTTAAAATTAATTATTCAACATAAAAAATTTATTTTCATAAATAAATATAGAATTAAAAAATAAAAACCCCTATAAAAAGATGTAAAGAACCTTTTACATGCGCCCCTCTTTTTTCTTATTTAAAGGGAAAAAAATCTTTTAATTGTTTATCAAAGAATAAAAAGATATAAATTTTTTGATTAACAGTTTGTATATATATTTTTTTTTATCTCAGGTAAATAAGTCATTTTATTATTCCAAAAAGGTTGAAATCACACATATACCTCTGAATGATTCTTAATGAACAACGGATCATTGAAAAAGACTGAATTGCTTCAAACTAGAGGCATAAATTTTCTCAATCAAGGGCAAAAAAAAAACAATTTAACTCTTAATTTTATTAATGAAAGAGGGGAGAAGGTGGCAACTCTTGTAATTTGTTTATGATTATTAATTTGCAGGTAAATGATGTGATAACAGAAGCAGTAGGGGGTGATGCTAGGAACGTGGAGGGTGGTGATGCAGTATGACAGACACCATGCATCCATGTTGGTACCAGGTGGGCTGTCATAATCACGGAGCTGGTAAAACGTACTGAGTTTATTATCATATTTAGTCTGTAACAGCTGTTATAATTATGATTTAAAAAATATTATTTTATATAAAATTAATTTATAAAAATATATATTTAATTAAAATTATGGTTAATATTAAGACTTAATAAAAATAATTTAACATATTTCATTAAAAATATTTTTGAAAATAAAGTTATAAAATAATTATATATAAATATATGAATATTAATAGTTTTTAATTTAATTTAAATATTATAGATTTAACTATTATTATTACATCATGAAATAAATAATACTAATATTAAATATTTTTTATTGTTTTATTAAACTATATTTTTTATTTTTTTATTAAACTATATGTAATTTCATCATATATGAAATCTATTTGATAAAAACTATATTTTTCATGATTTTTTAAACATGCAATAACGTCATGTAAAATATCATAAATAATAAAATTATAATTATAATTAAATTCTGTAAATATTACATCATTAATTGATTTTCTTTTAATTTTTTAAATAAAATATAATTAAAAAATAAAAATTAATTTTTATAACCACGTCAAACTCAATTCAATGCATTTTAGTTTAAATCGAATTTGATCTACCGAAAAAAAACTAAAATAATAAAAAGTAAATTTCAGTATTCCCATAAACAATAAACTTTACTCTCCACCGTGTTCCACAGGTTTATGGCAAGCAAGTAATAGCTGCTTTTTACATACTCGTGCTTTT